ACATTTTTGTAACTTACATTATACTATATATATTCAGAATTGTATGTATGATTTACAGATTAGAGACATTAACGAGCTCTCAAGACAAGATGTAGATGCAATAATCAAGATGTGTGATTGCCAAGAATATGTCACACCATCAGACAACATACATAAAAGGTCAGTGAATTTCTCTCTTCTGCTTGCTTATGCGCCTAAGAAGTAGGTCATATACATAGTGTATCTTTTTCCTGTCAAATATCTTTAATATGTTGATGAAGTAGAGATAATACTTCTTTGTATCATGATGGTGGGTAAATTCACCCTGTTATTTAAACACGTAAATAGTTCAACTTCACAAGTTGATGAAAATAAATGTCACGTGAAGAGATACCAGACTGGGGAAATTAGTGCATGTAGAAAGACGCTGGACTAGTGACTACTGTGTTTATGTTCTTATTGCTTGTTATTAACCTCAGGAGATACATAGCCATGGTCGAAATGTGCAAAATCGTTGGCAACAGGGACCAGTTAATTACATTGTTACTACAACTAACAGAGCATGTACTAAATATCATCCTGATCCATCTCCAAGATAGGTAATGGCACTTTATCTTCAACCTTTGATATCTTAGTTTTTTGTTAAGTTGGATATATTTTAGTTTTCTGACTGCAAGTGCAAATCCAAATATTGACTAGGTTTATGGGTTGACTTAAAAAAGATTAGGTTCATCCATAGAAACATATGATGTTCAAACGAATCGCTCTTGTGCGTTAATGCTGAAAGACTTTTTACATATATGCAGATCTGGTAGTTCAAATGAGTCGGCATCATATGGTTTAAAATCTCATCAACAACAGGAAGTTTCAGATCTCTGTGGCAAATTGTCACCTATCATAGAAAGGCTTGCATTACTGAATGAGGTATGTAGCCTAATCGATTTACAAGAATTTTGTCGTAATCATGTGATGAAAGTGAAAAGTGGTGTGACCCAACTTCTTGATCGCAGGGAAAAGTAGGACACAACTTGAAGGTATTCAAGAGACTGGCGACTACCGTCAAAGAAATGGCTGTCCAAAAGTGTTTATGATCGGCTCTCAAGAAATGTAGAGAATCGTATCTGGCGATGGAACTATTCCTTGTATGAATGTCCAAATCAAAAATGTATTCTTGGTCTGTATAACTTGGCTAACCGATATCAGCGCTACGAAATTGCAAGGTGTATACACGAGATCTAACTCTGATTATGATTTATCTGTTACCGGATACTTTAATTCCGCTCTAAACATCCATACACTCAGCCAAGATAATTTATGTATGCTGTTATCTTAGACAGTCTGCTGTTATCTTAGACATTTCCGTAGATCACGATAATTTTTGCATTCGAGGTAGTTCAGCCTATTTTCCTATCAACATAATGTATGCATTCGAGGTAGTTCAGCCTATTGTCCTAGTATATTTAGGGGTGGACAAAAAGAACGAAGCAAATTAAACTGATCCAACCATATCAAGTTATATGTTCTAACAACTTTATATTGAGAAAATTACTTAGATTAACTCTTGATCTTTTTGTTAATTAGTAGTTTAACTCTAGAATTTACATATCTTAGTATAGGTATGAAAAAGACTACATTAACTTCAATGGTTCCTCTTAAGTGCAACTTTGATATCTTCTATATCTTCTGTATTATTAAAAGAGAAGTACCCATATAAAATATCCCTAAGTTTTTCTAATTTTTTACAATGTTATGCCACTGAAGTTATTAATTACTCTACCTTATAGGATTCTTTGTCTTTTCACTTTAATTAATGCATTTCCAAAATCAAATTTTAACTAAAAAAAATTATGGCAACAATAATTAATGAAAATAATTATTTTCATATATACCTTTCGTAATTAAATAAATAAATTATATATAAATCGTTTTACTAATTCCATATACATAATAATTAATTCCAATATTAATTAACCTACCTTTTAGGATTTTTTTCTTATTAATTATCTACATATCTTTAAATAGTTAATGAAGAATATTTTTTTTAAAGATATATAATTATATTTTTATTATTTATAAGTAATAACTAAAATAAGTCACAAAAAGAAACATTTATATAATATATAATAAAAAGATTAATATAAACATATCATGTTATGTATATTTTTATATAAATAATAGTTCAAGGTAAATTCCGAATAATAAAAGTTAAAAAGTAGAAATATATAGGACCATATATTTTAAATAGTAAATAAAAAAATTTAGTTATACATTATCTTAAAATTTTGATTCATAAAATAAAATAAAAACATCTGTGCAGATATACGGGTCATATTTTTAAAATAAGTATGACACAATGATAGTTTATAAGATAAAATAAAATTACTCAATATAAACTATAAAATTGTGTAATTAAAATGTCATTTTAAACAATTATTTAAACGGGTAAATTTAGAAATATATATTATCACTTATAAAATATATAAAAACAAACACTTGCGCGGATCAAACATCAAACTTTTAGGTATTCTTCTATCAAAATTAAACCCATAAGTAATTTGTAACCATTTAATTGATACTTCATTTTTTATTTTACATCATTTAGTATAAACCTAAAAATTAAAAAAAAAAAACAGCCGCCCGGTCGGGCGGGTCATGGTCTAGTATATATTAAAATAGAAGTTATGACTTGATTTCATGTGTGATATTTTAAATTTTGGACCTATTCCTAAAAAGGGGAGTTACATTACATTTTTCAATCATTAATAAGAGACATTATTAATATAATATGTTTTATTCCCTTAACGATCGGAACTAACTTATCTCACGGTTATGTTTTAAGAAAATTACTATTCCTTTTGGTTTAACGTGAATTTGTATGATTAACATATATTACTCTTTCTTTTTCTTGGATGACAAGTATATTAGTTTTATCATACCTATATCAATGATAAAATAAAATCATTCTACGAAAACATATGAAAAAAATCAAGATTACTTTTGTTTTTCAATATGAATATTCGGTAATATAAATCCGTGAAGCTACAAGTTTAATTTTCTTAAAAAAATTCTAAATTTGTGAAATGTTACAATCTCTTTGAAGATGACAATAAAATAATATTTTACCAATCTTTATATATATAGTTAGGATTTCAATAATGAAATAATAATCGAAAAATATATACATAGAAAAGGATAAAAATACATGTAAAAGTTTCAAACCATTTTTTCCAATAAAAAAATATACAATATAATTATTATGTTTTAAAAATTGATAGACACACTTCATATAAATTACAATATATATCAATTTACAATTGAAAACAAAATATTTACAAAAAAAAATAAATGAAAACAAAAACCTCCGCGGTTGCGCGGGTCGAGATCTATACATTAATTTCTTAACAATAAAAACATTAAAAAATATATTGACATTATACATTAATTCCTTAACATTAAAAACATTAAATATATATATATATATATATATATATATATATATATATATATATATATATATGTCCTCAGTATTTCATTCCTCGTTTTTGGATATATGTAGCTCAATTCCACGTTGTAAATCTGCTCATTAACCTTGTATTATGAACAAAATCATCATTATTTAGTTTTGTCGTCTACGGCTGTAACTTTACTCCTCGTTCCTTTCTCAACACCAAATAACCATTTGTTTTTACCAGAAATCCAATGATCACAAATAATTTTTATTTGCACCAAGAAAGAAGAAGAAAATAAATAATTGTCAATCTCAAAACTCTGTTAACAAGGTACTTGACGTCAAAAAATAAAAACAAGGCAAACACGTAAAGGATTTGTTGATTAGGACATTTCTTTGTTTGGTTTAAATTAATGTGGTTGAGTTTAATTGATAATTTTGATTTGGTTTAATTAAATAGCCATTCCGGTTAAGGAGGATTAAAAAATAATCTGTGGCCAAACTATAAATAATTCTGTCGCTTTAATTTAAACAAATATGTCGATTGTAATAATTCTATAATCAAATAAAAAATAAATCTGTCAAAACTTAACTAAATCTGTCAAAATTTAATAAATTTGTGGATAAAGAATAATAAGTCAACTTCTGTCAAAAACAAGTAAATCTGTGGCTAAATAAAAAATAAATCTATCAAATCTTACATAAATATGTTTAGATTAAGTAAATATGTGGCCATATAAATTAAATCTAACAATTTTTAATCAAATCTTTTAAAATTTAATAAATCAGTGGCTAAACGTGATAAATTTGTTATAATAAATCTGTGGAAATCTTACTAATTCTTGGAATTTTTAAATAAATCTGTGGCTAAAGAAGAATATATTAAGTTTGTGGTTACATAAAACGTGAACAAAATAAGTCTGTCGGTGGCAGAATTGTAAATATTCCAAAAATTCATTAGTGGCATTTTTGTAATCATTTTTTTGTTAACAAAAGAAATAGGGGTAAATTAGGTATGAAAAAATAAACTAGTAATTAAAATAAAATTAGAGTTATACTAGTAACTAATTGATAAATAAGGGTTAAATTAGTTTTGTTCCCTTTTGTATTTTCTGATAAAAAAATCAAACCAAACTAACCAAAATGTTTATTTAACTAAAAATCTTTAATAATAAATTTGCGTTTTTATCTCTCCATAGGGGGAAATAAAACACGTGGCATTTCTATCATGGGGTTCAATTTCCTACCGAAACGGGCTTTTTTAATTCTAGGCCCATTTCCTCCCGAATTTTTTTTGTGTGTTAGGTTTAGCTTTCTTCCTTCGACGGCATGGAACTTACAGACGACAGAGAAACCAAGAGAGAGCTTCGTCAAACGTTAAAACGTTTGGTTTTCATCCCATAACTCCCCCCTTTAAACTTGATTCTCCCACTCTTCTGCATTCACTCTGACCCATTGTATTCTTAGAGTCACTGATTAGAGGTAGGACTATAAATAAGCTCTCATCGGACATGCATATCACAGCTTCCACAAGAAAGAGAAGATTATTCTGTTCAACTTCCTGTTTATTACGATGGTCAATTCCCACATCTTCCTTTCGGATCTGAAACCAGGACGGTGCTCCAACAATGCCAAGGTTAGGTTACTGCGATTGTGAGAGGCTAGGAATGTGAGAAAATGTGGTGAACTTGATGAGTCTAGACATGCTCTTTGTCGATGAGCATGTAAAGAACTCTTTACCATAACTTTTTTCTAATTTCGTCGATCTGTGAATTTCACCTCTGTTGGCTATTGTTCTAATGCCATTTTCTAAACGTTTTTGTTCATCCCTTTTAACAGGTGACGCTTACGCAGGGATCTATTGCTGCAACCCGTCAGCTCTATTTCAGGGAACGGCTGAGGGAGGGCTCGGTCTAGACTTTAAACGGTTTTGATGTCACACAGAGAAACCCCAATTTTCGTTTATGTGATGCTCCTCTTTTGATCAAGTTCAATGATGGAACTTATATTGAGAAGGTTATTGGGGGGGGGGGTCTGTTAAGCGCATACCTATGGAGGTTTTTAGATTCATGCCCTACAGTACTTGAACTCGCTAATACCGGGAGACAACTCCCTGGTATGTATCTTGACTCTGAGTAATTTAGTCTTTTTTTAATAGCATGTACTAACATAACCCTGTCTATTCTTTATCAGATTTAATTGGTTAGCTGAGTGCAATCAGAAGCACGATCACGGACCGTATACCAGGGGCACAGCGTGTGATGCTCACTTTGCGTCTTCAAAGGTATTTACGAATCTATAATGGACATTTTGTCTTGATGGATACTCTTACCCTGTAGCCCCACCTGAATTTATATCATATCCTTTTTGCAGTGGTGAAAATGTCGTTGTAAGTATGTTTGACTCAATGGCTCTTGCCTTTCATACCAAGTTTGAGGGGTATGGGAAAGAGCCCAAAATTGTAGTTGCCACAAGTCTCAATCCTAAGATAGTTTGTGGTAAGCATGTTTCATGTTTCTGTTTTGTGATACATTATAGATTATTAGTACGTACAATGTTGTCAATCATTTATTGTATAAGTAGTGGAGTATTTTTTTGGGTGTAACAGAAGTGTTGTGTAGTAAAATGATGCTTCTTTCAAAACGAAGATAGCTAGCAGATGTTCATAAAAAAGGATTTGTATGACCCGATTTTAACAAATAGTTTATTAGGGTTTATAAATATATCTATAAAGATTTGTAAAGTCATTTTTTGATTGGATCAATATATAATTGTATGTCCCGAGTTTATGAATTGTTATTTTAGTCTTGAGTTTATAAAAATAAATACATAATTTAAGTTTATTATGGTTAGTATATGTGCTTTGTTCGTGTTTTTTGATTCTTATGGTTCTGGAAATTTGAAGTGCCTATTTGAACGTGCGTACATTTTCTTACTTACAACTTGGATAAAGATTACTAATTGATCTCTGCCAAAGCTACTGTCTAATTAAGAATCGCATGCAAAATCCATATTTTGCATGCTTGATCTCTAGTGTTTATTAAAGATAAGAAAGAATATAAAGAAAAAAACTTGACAAAATCTATATTGGGTTAGATTTAAAAGACTACCAATTTAACATAAATATATATAAGAATATAAAAACTACGATTACATGTTACCTCAACAATATCGAAAATCAGTGTCAAATGTATTTACTATTTACAAACTAAACAATTCGTGTTCATACTTTTAGAAAGAGAATTCAAGTTTTACTTTAAGAACTAAATTATAATTTTTAAAATTAAAACCAATCAATTTAGCAACAATACAACGCTAAAATTTTAGTCTCCAAGTAGAATTTCAAGTCAATAGTCGTAAACTTTAAAAATCCCTTTTTTAAAAAACCCAACAATGATAAAACTTAATACACACAACTGACATATAAAAATTCAAAAGTCTAACATATTATTTTTTCAGTTGTCGTTTAAAAAAAAAACAATTAAGAAATCAACATAATTTAATGATTACCGAGAATAAATATAAAAAAAAAAGAAAAATATATAATTGTAAAACGGAAATTAGTTAAACTGAAAATTAGTTAAAGGACCATAATAACTTAGCCACCGTAATATCTCATCCCCCATAGTCATGTATTATAAAATATTTCACAACCTATTATTTTATACCTATAAATTAACCTAATCTGTGAACCCACAAAAGTAAACACTTTACACAAATGAAAGATAACAAACAATTCAGAGATTAAATTTTAAAATTGTCATGCTATATTTAAACTTAAATTTATAATATACTTAATATGCAGAGACTAGAATCAAACTAATATATCTCTATATAATTGATACATATTTTGTTTTCTAAAATACCCTTGAAAAATACTCTAAATTATAAAACAATAACTAAACCATATCAATATTACCAAACCGGCCGACCCCTAGTACTAATATATTAAAATTTAAGATATTTAACCATTTGGCCTAAACATTTTAACATACGGTTCTTACATTTTACTTCTAAAGATAAAAGAAACATAACTAACAATAAAATAACTAGGTTATTATTATGTTCTCATGCACGATTAATTATGGTAGAAAATCTACAAATTAATATTCCATAAATTAATAAATACTATTAAATTAATAAATTTATCCGGTCTCAAGTTTGAATGTTTCAAAATATGACACTAATTGATAAATTAATAAGATATTAAATTTTTTAAAATTCAATGTAAATATATTATTTCAAAAAATTGTAAATTAATAATTTATATGTATACATATTTATAAAAGTACAAATCTATCATTATATCATTTTTTATATTCACAATAGAATTATTTATATCTTTTCTTAAAACTTAATATATTTCTATGAGACTTAGTACAATTATATCTAAAGCCACATTTAAATTCTATAAATATATTTTATATACACCAAATTATATAATAAAACCAATATAAATGTCAAATTTTAAAAAATAATTAACGCATATACACTAAAATCAAATATTTTCTTATTTTTTTAAATATATCTTAAAATAAAATAAAAAATCTAAATACGATAAGTTTTTTTAAAATTTGTAACTTTATAAATTAATATAATATCATAGTTGCAATATTATTAATATATAGAGTTTTTACAGTAAGTAAATATATATCATAATTATCGATTTTGTATTTTCAGGTGTGACTGATAAATATGAGTGTTTCGTATCGGATTAGTGCTTTCTGATTTTTTATTTTTATTATTTTCAGACTTCAGCTTTTATCATTTTGTCGACATTTATTCGTACTTTTTTTTATTTAATGGATTTTGGTTGTTCAAGATGATTTTTTAGTATTAATACAGTGGAGACTTTAGAAATTGAGTTTATTGAGTTGCACATGAAAACACGGGTGTGGCAATTTGGTATCAAAGCGGGTTTTGTCCCTGTCTTGACCCAAGACAGCGATTAGGGGTCTTGTTTTCAACTATTTCAATGCTTTCAACATATTGCTCAGAATTTGGAATCTATTATATAAAGAAGAGCATCCTTCCTTCTTAGCCATGCCACGTCATATTCCAGGTCAGAAAGACCAGGTCAGCAAGTCGTGGTATCTCGCGTCGACACGTGGCACACTGTGAAGCAAACGCCGTGTTTCTGTAAACGCTTGCGTATCTTCTCCTCCCTTCCTACGACAGCGCCGCTTGACGTTCCCTTCCCTTCCCTGAATGAACAGCCAGATACACCACAGTTGTATATAATAATTATACATCAACGTTCTATAAAATTCGATCTCCGTAAGAAGAAAATCTATTATATAAAGAAAGAGAGGAAGCTACCACTACAAGAAAACGCTTGATTACCGACCAACAGTTACGACCACGAAATGGTGGTCGTAATTTTACGTTTGTGTTACGACCAGTCAACAACCAAAAAGATATTGGTCGTAAAACCGAAGTAAATTTGGGACCACATATATTGGTCGTAAAGCAGAAGTGACTTAACCTCCAATTTACGACCAAAAGAAAAAGTGTTCGTAAAGTAGAAGTTAGTCGACTACGGAATTACGACTAAATATTTAGCTTCGCATTAACTACCAAATTACATGCACGTGGTAGTTTATTCGAAGTAACATAATTTTGGTCGTAAATAGGGGGTAATATTCCCCACCTACCATTTCGAAATTTGCCTATAAATACGATCTCATATTCCATTTTTTAGATACACCAACAAAAAAAAATAAACAAGATTGTCAAAAAAAAAAAACGAAACAAGATAGAGTAAAAAATGTCTCGAGATATTTATGAGCTTCGAAGTTGGATGTATACACATAAAGATTCTGAGGGAAGAGTGACATCGGAGTTCCTCAACGGGGCAGAAATATTCATGTACCAGGCCGGAAACACGTCTCTCACGAAGGAAACGGGTAAAATGTTCTGTCCATGTGTTAAGT